ACAGGACCTTGCTGAAGCATTCAGTGAGGAGGAATGCAACATCCCTCCGCCTCATCGACACACTGACTGTGCAATTGAGATTGAGCCTGGGGCCAAACTCCATAAAACCAAAAATGTACTCAATGACCCCTAAAGAAATGGCTGAGCTGAGGAAGTACATCGATACTAACCTAGCCCAAGGGATTCATCCAACCTGCAAAATCCAGAGTAGCCGCCCCAGTGCTGTTTAAGGAAAAGAAAGATGGGGGATGAGGCTCTGCATGGATTTTTGTGAAATAAACACAGTGCCCGTGGAAAACACCTACTCCCTTCCCCTCATGAAAGACCTACTGAACTACCTTTCAAAAGGCAAAGTGTTTACTAAACTTGACTTGAGAAAAGCCTACTACAGGGTGCGCATAAAGAAAGGGGATGAGTGGAAGACTGCTTTCAACTGCCCATTAGGTAGCTTTCAATTCAAAGTTATGCCTTTTGGTCTCCAAGGAGACCCTGCTGTATTCATGCAATTGATTAACGAAGTGCTGCATGAGCATTTATACAATGGGGTTCTAGTCTACTTGGACGACATCCTCATATTCAGTGAGTCATTAGAAGAACATGTGAAACTAGTCCGACAAGTACTAAAGAAACTGTTAGCCACAAAACTTTATGCGAAGCTGTCCAAATGTGAATTTCACAAAACTTCTCTGGACTACCTGGGCTACCGAGTGTCGAATGAAGGCATAGAGATGGATTCTGGGAAAGTGCGAGCTGTACTTGACTGGCAGGCCTCTCACACCAGGAAACAGCTGCAAAGTTTCCTGGTTTTTGCTAACTTCTACCAGCAATTCATCCCAGCCTTCGTGAAAGTGGCCCTGCCACTTACCAAACTGCTAAAGATATGCCCCTCCCCTGTAAAGCCACAGCTGACACAGCCGTTAGCCTGGACGCTAAGCTGTCAAAAAGTGTTTGAAAAATTGAAATGGCTGTTTGCAGAGGAGCCCATCCTTCAGCACCTGGATCCAGATAGGCAGCTCATTGTCCAGGCTGATGCCAGCGATGTTGCAGTGGCAGCAATGCTCCTCCAGGAAGACCCCCAAGGACAGCTGCTTCCTTGCGCGTATGTGTCCAAAAAGCTCACAGACACTGATCAGAGATGGGCAGTATGGGAGAAGGAAGCCTTTGCTGTTTGGGCTCTTCTATCATGGTGGCACTTCCTAGAGGGAGCCAAGATCCCCTTTGAGGTATGGTCAGACCATAAAAACCTCAAAGCCTTAAAGATCCCATGATGGCTCTCCCCCAAACAGGTCCGCTGGACACAGTACTTCAAGCGGTTTGATTTCCAGCTGAAATACATCCCAGGGGGGAAGAACCTGCTTGCAGATGTCCTCTCAAGGAAACCCCAATATGACAGCCAGAGGGAGGACGTCATCCATGCCATTATCCCAGACATGCAGAGTGTGGCGTAAGTCACTATCCAGAGTCGGGCCAGCAGGCGGACTGATCCCATCGATGGGAAGCTAACTGCCGACTTGAAGGCAGCACTACCTACTGATCCATGGCTAGCTGACAATCGAGACACTTTGATGACCCGTGATCGACTAGCTTGGAAAGGTTCAAAAATTTATGTCCCCAACAGCACAAGACTCCTGGTGCTCCAGTGTAGCCATGATTCTCAATTGGCTGGTCACTTTGGATTTCTAAAGACCCTTCATCTGATTAGACGGCAGTTTTGGTAGCCAAAGATGAAAGCTGCTGTGGAGGACTATGTAAAAAGTTGTGCCACATGTTTCAGCAATAAAACACAACCGGGGAAGCCTCCCGGTTTGCTTCAACAGGTAGCTGAACCCAGCCGCCCATGGGAAGAAATAGCTATGGACTTTATAGTAGAGCTCCCGGAAAGTGGTGGAAATATTGTAATATGGACTGTGATAGACCTGTTCTCCAAACAAGCCCATTTTATTCCTTGTTCTGGACTTCCTCGGCTAAGAGATTAGCCAAGATGTTTGTCAAACCGATCTACCGGCTGCATGGAGTTCCATGATGGGTGATCTCCAATCGAGGAGTTCAGTTTACCGCTAAGTTCTGGAGGGAGTTCCTGAGGTCCATTGGGTCATCTCAGGGGCTTAGTTCGGCTTTCCATCCAAGTATGAACGGAGCTGTGGAATGTGCTAATGCCATGGTGAAACAGTACATCAGATGTTATGTAAATTACCAGCAAGATAATTGGGCTGACTTGCTTCCTTTTGCAGAGGTGGCAGTGCATAGTAGTATGGGACTGACGCCTTTTCAGATTACAAGCGGCATGGAATTCATCCCTATGCCAGAACGAGAGAACAGCCTTCTTCCATGACTCTGAATGAATGGATGGAGTCATTAAAGAAAGACTGGGAGAATACCAAGGCTGGGAGGGGGTTGTTGTTGGAGCGGTAGAAAGTAAGTCATAACTACATTCCATACTCAAGGACTTTTGCCGGCGTCTGATGCAGACTATATGAAGACTGTATCTGGTGGAGTGTGAAGAGTTGATTGGACAATGTGATGAACTTGTGGGTGTGGGGCAGGGCTGTGAACTCTTAGCTGGGTGGAAACCTGGAAGCTTTCAGATTCAGGTTTTCCCAGATGTGCCAACACGACATCTCTAATAAATTGGAACTTTGAGGAACCTCAGGCCTCAGAGCTTTATTTTATTGGGGGTGTTCCTTGGAACCCTCACAGTCAGAGCCTCCCACCACCATTACTACCAGTTTGCAAGAACCGGTCCGAACTGGAGGCAACCCACCACTGGTTCTTCCCCTTTTGAATCAAATATCTAATGTTCCATCAGAAGCTGTTTGATATAAAGAAAGATATAAAGAATGGAATTTCAGAGAAGATGATGACCAGAAATAAATGCTAAGATATTTAAAATCCTAGATTCACTCAGTTTGGTAATTATGGATCTTCCAGAAATGGGGATGTTTAGCATGCTGTTTGGTTTTTATGTGGTTCCATACTAGAGTTTCAGCTCAGTAGTCAGGTGCCAATTCATTTAGCAACAAAAATGTTTGGCTTAATTGTGGTTGTAAGTTGAAGACTACCTATAGTTCTTCTTATGAAATAAATATCTTATGATTCTATCAGAGGCAGTTCGGGCTCACAAGGAAAGATCTGAAGAATGGAGTTTCAAAGAGGATGATGACTGGAAATAAATATCAAGATGTTTAAAATCCTAGATTCGCTCAGTTTGGTAGCTATGGATCTTCCAGAAATGGGGATGTTTAGCATACAGTTTGGTTGCATTATCATGTTTCAGATTGGTAGTAGGGTGCCAATTCACAAAGGCTGAATTTTAAAACAGACAAAAGACAGTCTGGTAAAACTATAGCAAAATGGGAATTGGTTTATTTGCCCCAGAACAAAGGACAAAAATCAGGTTTGGTAAGGCCTTGAACCATACTATTAATTAAAAAAATTAAATAATCTTTGTCTAACTGATTTAGAAGATGGAAGGGAGTCAACAAGTCCTCTACCAATTGAGCATTGGACCTATTTGTAGTCTCTGCATACAAGATCCTAACTACTGTATTTTTTGGAGTATAAGACGCACATTTTTACCCCCCAAAAGGGGATGAAAATTTAGGTGCATCTTATACACTGAATGTAGCCCTGCCCACCCACTGGCCCCTATCCTTTGGCCTGTGCCTTGAAGCAGTTACCTCCTTGCAAGCAAACAGCAAGAAAAAACAGCTCCTTTCAGCTTCAGCATAGGCTAATTAGCACAAGTTGATTAGATCGGCCTTCCGACTCTCAGCTGATTTACTCTCAGCTGTTTTGTGAACGGCTCTACTGCTTGCTGCAAAGAGTGCTGGAGCAGATTTTTTTTACCCTTGTGCTAATCAAGCTATGCTGAAAAATGAAACTGAAAGTAAAGCAGGCTGTTTGCTGTAACGTGGCAAAATGAGGCAGAGGGAGATTTCTTTTTCTTTTTCCTCACCAAAAAAGATAGGTGCAAACAATGGGAAATTTAGAGCAAAAGAGGAGACTTCAAGATTTTAAAACACAAAAGAAAAAAGGCAAAAATAAAAATAGGAAGAGAGAAAAAAAAAGAAATGAAAGAGAAAGATATTATACATATTTAGAATTGAAATATGAATAGTAGTAAGAAATAAATGGGAAATCATGATTGTAAAAATGAAATAAATAATAATTTGAATATTTTTCTATATGGGCAAAACTTTAGATTATTGGGAGAGTTTAAGATGTGAAAATGAGTAACATAAAGGGAAAAGTCTATTTAACTAGGGAATTGTAATAATTGAGATACTATTAATTGTATATTGTATTGAAAGCAGAAATGGTTAAATTGTGGTTTGGAAGAATATATGGGGAAAATTATTTGGTTTATTATTATTATATTGATTATTATATTGATTATATTATTATTGATTATTATATTAATCAATAATTAATTGATTTGTAAGAAATTGGATTGCATGGAAATAATTGGAATATTCATGTTCATATTGATTAATATACTGTACAAAAAAGATAGTTATATAACTAATTGATTTATATAAAAATGTTGAATTTGTATTAAACAATTGTAATATTACATAATTAACCAATGTGAGGAAGGATATAAAAATAGAAGACAATGGGAAGGGATATAATATAGAATAGAAGGGAAAAATTAAATTTGATTAAGATTAGAGATGAGTATGAAGGGTAATATTGTTTTTTTTTAAAAAAGATAGATGAGGAATAAATATGGCAAAAAGGAAATATAGAAATTGTAAATTTAATTGAAATGACTAAACACTGTTTAAATTTGTGAACCAGCCAAATACTCTGTTCAAAGAAAATACATTGTATGTTTGTATGTGTGTTTGTCTAAAAAAAAAAAAAAACAACCAAAAAAGGTAGGTGCGTCTTATACTCCGGTGCGTCTTATACTCCAAAAAATATGGTAATTATTTTAGGATCCAATGGTCAATGAAGGAAGCAATCAAATACCAATTTCAGATTATCAAAGCAGTACAGAGGCCTCCTCCAGGAGGGTTAGTAAATTTGCAGGCAGGTGGTGCAGTGATGTAGTGACTCACAGTAGAAAGACCTGGCCTTTACCAGGTTTGTTCCATCATTAAGATCCTTTCCAATCAGCAAACCAATAAAAAAGACATTTACCATAATTACAGTAGCCGTTGACTAAGGACCACAATTGAACCCAAAATTTATGTTGCTATGTGAAACATTTGTTAAGTGAATTTTGCCCTGTTTAATGGTCTTTCTTGTGGCATTTGTTAACTGAATCATTGCAATTGTTGAGTTAGGAGCACAGTTGTTAAGTGAATCTGGCTTCCCTGTTGACTTTGCTTGCCATAGGTTTGCAAAAGCTGATCACATGACCCCAGGACACAGCAACTGTGATAAATATGAGCCAGTTGCCAAGCATCTGAATTTTGATCATGTGACCATGGGTCATAAGTGTGAAAAACAATTATATGACTTTTTTTCAGTGCCATTGTTATTTCGAACCGTCACTAAATGAACTATTGTAAGTCAAGGACTACCTATACACATAATCAGCTGATAGGATAGTTGTTAGCTGGATTGAAGCTGGATTGGTTTTGTAGACTTTTTTGGCACTTAGAATAGAATTGATCAAATTCCTTTGAGATTTGCAATGAGTTTTTAATATTAGTAAACAAAGAGACCAAAACAGTAGTCCACCGATCAAGGTTTTGGTTCAGCATTTGCAGGAGGATCAAGTCCTTTCAAAGAATATCTTAATAGAAAAGCTCATCTCAGATCACATCCCCAAATCATGCTCTAGGCTCTTCTAACTCCTTAGCCACTACAGACTAGTTCTGTCCTAACCAGAACTGCTGGATGGAATGGCAATAAAAGTGAAAAAATATTAAACTTTTGCCACCCATATCAAGACATTGGTATTCCTTAAGGTGGTTTTTAACCCATGTCCATTGAGACTCACTTTGCATCTTCCTTCAATGGCAGATTACATCTCATCCTCCTAAAAAAAAAAAAAAAAAAACAGGCCTACCCTGGCACTTCTCGTATAAATTGGCCATTCAATAATTTAAGACATAGAGGCCATGAATTTTTTAGGTGGCTCACATTCCAAATGATAATTAAAGAAAATAAACCGTAGATTTATTAAAAATAAATACAATAAAGCATAGATCTAAAAAGAGTGGTAGTAATAGTTGCATCATTCAGATTTTTGAATTTTGCCTCCCATTTTGAAGTATGGAAGCAAGTCCATTTCAGCTAAATAAAATTGTAAACTGATCACAGACTTCAAAATTGGAAAATTCTCCTAGAAATACATATACATTTTTTTAATTAAAACTTTCTTTTCATGAGCTGATGTTTATTGTTCAGTTCAGGTCTCATCACAATGATAAAACACTTGGGAAGAAAGATGCACACCAATAATCCAGCACTGGAGGAGATCATGGAGAAGATCTCCACAGCCAACATATATTTTCCCCTAGTGCTTAGATAGGTTGGAATAAAGCACAGCCAAACACTGCAGAAGACCAACATGCTGAAGGTGATGAATTTGGCTTCATTGAAACTGTCAGGTAACTTCCTAGCTAGAAAAGCAGCAGAGAAGCTAACCAGAGCAAGAAAACCCATAAAGCCCAAAACACAGCAGAACATGACTGAGTCTTCATTACACTCCAGGATGACTTCTTCAGACATTGACTGCATATCAAAATCTGGATATGGTGGGGATATTATCAGCCACACAGCACAAACACATATTTGAACAAAGGAGCAGAAAATAATAATGTAGTTGACCATTCTTCCACCCACCCATTTCCTCAATTTGGAACCAGGTTTGGTGGCCATGAATGCTAGAACTACAACAAAGGTTTTGGCCAATACACAAGAAATTGCTACAGAAAAGATGAGACCAAAAGTTGGTTGTCGAAGGAGACACAAAATCTTATCTGGTCTGCCAACAAATAGAAAGACACAAAGGAAAGAGAGGAGGAGGGAAACTAGGAGTATATAAGTGAGATTTTGGTTGTTGGCTTTGACGATGGGAGTGTCTTTGTGTTTCATGAATACTGTGATGATGAAAGTAGTCATTAAAGAAAAACAAAGGGAAAGAACAGTCAGACTGATCCCCAAAGTTTCTTCATAGGACAAAAAGGTGATCCGCTTTGGAATACACATATTTTTGTCAGGATTTGGATATTGATCTACAGGACATGGGGAGCAGTCATCCATATCTAAAAAAGAACACAGTGGAATTTATAGGGTTGATTATAGACAGTGTTTTATCTCAATGTCTTACTCCCATTATAGTTGGAAATTTCCTACCTTTCTCCTTTGATATTTTCCCTTCTGGGCACAGATAGCAATCATAGCAGCAAAATAACTTTCCTTCTTTCTTGGCCTTGCAGTGTCCTGTCTCACAAGGATCATTACACAAAGATAAAGGTAATGCCTATCATTGAATGAAGAAGAATGTTTTAAGATACAGAAGTGAAATAAATGCTTGGAGTGATACTGTTAAATAGAATTAACATAATAAAAATGAATTGATTACCACAAGTGATGTCATGACATCATTTTAGTTGTATTTGTTGTGAAATTATAATTAATTAAATATCTACAATTATTGGCATTTCCCCAAACCATCTGTCAGCATTCCAAATTGAATTCCAATGGAGTTCCTCATTGGAATTCAGAATTCCAAGACGAAGTCCATCGAAATAAGAATTTATTAGAAAAATCATGTTGGCACATCTTGAAAAAATCCAAATCTAAAATCCCGCATTTCCCCCCACCCACACTAAAGCTCACACCCTGCCCTGTTACATTCACATCATATGACCCAATCAATCTCCTGCCTCAGCTGCTGCCAAACTTCAATCACTACCCTACAGCAACCCATGCTTGATCTCATGTGAAATAATGTTGTGATTACTCCCTTCTCTACGTTCCTGTTCCCACAGCTCACCCATCCCTCACTGTGGCAACCCTGTTAATTCTGTCTAAAGATGGATCCAGGGCTGACACCATCCTCCCTTCCCTCCAAAGGCATTTTCTATGCTGGTCAGTTAAAGTTAGTTTTCTCAACTTCTGAATTATGATCTGATGAAATGTAATACACTGTATTAAAGCTTTTACATCAAAACTATGAAAACTATAGTCTAAAACTAAAACTAAAATTATTAGTCTATAATTCACAGGGTGCAGAGAGCACAAAGTAAAGGATACAATATTCTATACCAAGTATTAGAAAAGTAAACATTCTTATAGATATTTTTTCCTTCTGCAGGACATTTGTTCTTAGGTTAGTTCAGAGATGATGCTCTGGAACAATCATCAATATATATTTTATGCTACCTGAATGAAGACAGACTAATTTAGATTTAAACAGCTAACCTGATTAAAGCCTACTGGCCACGTGATGGAATCTACAGAAATATTGAAGAACTTCTCTGGTGGAGCTGTGGGATCTATCACTCCAACTTTGACTCTAACAAAGGATTTGTTTGGGAATGTGATCCAGTTGATGATATCATATCCACCAATGAGTTCACCATTTTTATCAAAGGAGATCTTTTCACCAACACTGTTGTTGAATCTGACACTTCTCAGAAAAGAATGAACCTGAAATATAGAGACAGTCAAAGAGACACAAAGAAAGACAGAAGGAGGCAATAATATATGTTCAAAACATAACAATGGATTCCAAAAGGGAGAACATATAAAATATGACACCACTGAAAAACAATTAAAATGTATTAACATAGGATTGCACAATAAAATACTAAGAAAAGATTATCTATGATTAGAGTTATTGCAGTTAAAATCCATAAGTACAAAAGCAAGAGAATAGTAAGACAAAATGTAATGTCTTCACATTTACTATATATATGTTACTTTTCAAAAGAGGCAGTAATGATCCTAAGATATATGAGGTTATGGTGGCCTAGACAAGTGGCAGCTTCTTAAATGTTAGAATGCTGCTATCACCCCAATCCTTCTTTTCATTAAACTAGGCATATCCAATTCCTGCAACTTTTTTAAAACATATGTTTTAGACTCCAGTCCCCTAATCTTATTCTGCACTTTTTCTAGAGTCTCAACAGCATTTTTTATATTGTGGTGATTAAAACTGGATGCAATTATTATTATCAGTTCTTCAAAGTCCACTCATGGTTTCTTTGGAAATATCTTCAACAGGAAATGCTCTAAACTGTGGGTGGGATTGAACTTTCAACAATCAAAGAACTGGCTAAATGCATACATCCCCCCCCGGCCGCCAATAAAAACCCATCTAGAAGGAATAACTGCTTCAGTACATCACATTAAGGCAAAATATCACTTTCTACTCTTTACTTAGAGACTGACCTAATAGCAGAGTTCTTCATGGTTCTGGTTGTGGCAAGTGGTTATCATTTTATACAATAACTTTTGCCATTTTAATATGAACACATAAATACTTCAGCTGGTTAAGCCATTAGTGCATTTCACCTTTAGACCAAATGTCAAAAGTCCTAGAGGATATTATGTGTTAGAGCTTATGGAGAGATGTTGCAACTACAGATTTGGTGGTTACTCCAATAGCAGGCTTACCTGCCACCACATATGATTGTGGAAATATTTCATTCCTTCTTTCACTGTTGTTTTTCCCCTGGATTTGGATAGAGAGAGAGATTGCAAAGCATGTGCCACAACATGGACTGCATTGTAAATATTGTAACTCTGTCCACTCATGCGTGTTTCAAACACAGATGTGGGAAGGGTCTCAAGCCTCTCCTGTCCAGTACATTTCTTCTCAGATGTCTCAGTTTTTGAATTTGAGAAGAAACATTCGAATGCCTGTTCCCAAAAATCTTTCCGAAAATGATCATGTTGGTTGTTGTTTGGATTTAGGTTTTGAAAAAAATCCTGGAAGTTTTGGACCTCCTTTGTGTGAACTGCAAAGGATAAAACACCATGTAGGATATGGATGTCCAAAGATTTATCAAAGGAAATTGAAGTATAATCTGTCTGAGTGGATGTAATCAAAATTTTTGTCTTTCTTGGTATATCCTCCATTTCTGAAAACTGGAGGAAACTTCTTAGAATTGACATGGAGCGACTTTCACCATACAAGATTACCACATTGGCTGTGCTGTTCATGAGAACTTGGTATATATATCGTTCTTTGTCTATTATATCAGTAAAATCACTGTAAAAAGTTAAGATTGGGAACTCTGCTATGAATTCAATGCAGATGCCATGTTCAGAAAATATAGGGAGCACCTCTTGTACAAATCTTTCTCCTTTGTCATCATTTACCACAAGAATTCCAATCCAGATCCATCTAAAATACAACAATAGTTTCAGGAGACCCTTATCTTCATGCGATTCATTTGGAAACATTTGTTGAAGGAAAATTGATTGAGTCTCTTTATCCATGACTGGAGCAGAGCCATAGGTCAACTACAGAAAGATAAACGTATGCAATTTCAAAGGTCTATGTGAGCCTCTGGAAATGTGTACATTTATTTGGGTAACTTTATTCTTATATACTGAAACATTATGCAGCTAGTTGTGTTTAGTTAGGAATATCAACCACAATGTCACTCTTAAGCTATCAGTAAATATCTTTTCCTGGAAGTAATACCCCCACTGTCTATTCAGATTTTCTCATTACTCATGCAACTCTGCTGATCCTATCAAGCCAAAAAAATATATCTAGGAATCTGAATTTTGTTCTCCTTTTGAGAGAGAGAAAACTGGGGATCTATGACAGAATGATAATGTATATCTTCAGTACATCTTACCTGAGGAACTTTGTAGATGCACAATACAGTTGCCATGTGAAAAGCAATGTCAGGTGCCCCAATAACTGCAGCCAAATTTTGAGGGAGGCCACACTTGTAGTTAGGGATGAATTTTCCCTGAGTGAAAGGTAGCAACATTGAGGCAAAGTAAGTCCATCTGGGACTAAAATTGCTGTTAAAAATGTGGAAGCCCAGAGTGATGTTGGGTAGGATCTCAGGATTTTCATTGATCTCTTTGAGAGAAAACGCTAAGGCCAGGATATGCTGATAATTCTGAAAAACTATTCTATAAAACATTAAAAATAAATACATTAAGAAAACTCTGCTTCACATTATGACACTTGTGATCTTTCAGTACAACATTTTGTGGAATATGCTTTTAGTGCAATCTACTTAATTTACAACAGTTCATTTAGTGACCTTTCAAAGTTACAACAGCACTGAAAAAGTGATTTATGAACATTTTTCAGACCTATGACCTTTGCTGCATCCTTGTGATCAAAATTCAGACACTTAGCAACTAACTCACATTTATGATAGTTGCAGTGTTACAAGAGCATGTTATCACCTTTTGTGACCTACTGACAAATAAAGTCAATGCAGAAGCCAGATTCACTTAACAACCGTTTCACTAAGTTAATGACTGCAGGGATTCACTTAAGAACATTGGCAAGAAAGATTGTAAAATGGGGCAAAACTCACTTTTGTCAGCCAGTTACGAATCCATCTGGTGATGATGCTATCTATCCCACTTTTTCCTAGTTTACCAAGAAGTAGGTTGTGGTCTACTTTGTCAAATGCTTTGCTGAAGTATAAGTAGATACGCACGATACCTGACCTCCAGACTTTTCGTCGGGCCCTGAAAACTCATCTATTTCATCTAGCCAGGCTGGCTTGATCCCATCCTTTTGGTTTTAATTTGAAATTGGTTTTAACTGGGTTGTTTTAAATTGAGGGCCGAAATTATTTAATGTCTTTTAAACTGTTTTTTAAATTTTATATGTTATGTTTTATCTCGGCTGTTCACCGCCCTGAGTCCTGTTGGAAAAGGGCGGTATAAAAATCAAATAAAATAAATAAAAAATAAAATAAATAAGTATAGTATGTCCACAGTATTTCGCTGGTCTACTAATTTAGTCACTATGTTGAAGAATGAAATAAGATTGGTTTGGCATGATCTGTTTTTAACAAACCCGTGCTGACTGCTAGTTATTATTTTACTTGTTTCTACTGTGTTTCCCAGAAAATAAGACCCTGTCTTATATTTTTTGCACCTGAAATAATTGCTTGGCGTTATTTTCAGGGAGGTCTTATTATTTTGGGGTGTGTGGAGCAAGACGGGGCTCCTCTTGCCATCTTACCTGGTTTCCAGCTCTATCTCCCTAACACTAACCAGATGAAATAGTGGGGACTAGCTGTGCATGTGCGTAAATATTTTGGGAAGGACTTATTTTCGGGGAAACATGGTAGATGTTGGCAGATTATCTTTTCCAGTATCTTCCTGGGTATTGATGTTAGGCTGATTGGTCTGTTTTTTTCCCTTTTTTGAAGATGAGAACCACATCAGCTCTTTTCCAGTCCTCTGGTAGTTCCCCAGTGCTCCAGGATTATTGAAAGATGTGGTGCAGTGGTTTTAAGATGACATCTGTCAACTCCTTTAGAACTCTGGGATGCAATCCGTCAGGTCCTGGTGATTTGTATTCATCAAAATTAGACAGGTGTTCCCCCCCCCTCTCTCTCCTTATTTTAACTTTTATTTCTAGTCTATCTTTTACAGTTATGTTTTTGGTAGGTTGGGCTATAGTTTCTTTTTGCATGAAGACCAATGCAAAGAATGAGTTAAGCAGCTCTGCTTTCTCACTGTTGCCTGTTGCTTCCTACTTCCCATTTCCAATCTCACTGGTTCGGTGACTAGTGTAGCTGGGACTCCCCCTATTAACATCCCATCGACTTGTTCGAAGCCATCCTCTCTCTTTAGTGGACCAACTGTTTCCTTGATTTTTTTTTTCTTGTTATTTATAAGTTATGTTGGAAGAAACTTGTTTTATTGTCTTTGACTTTTGCTGCGAGTCTTTGTTCATTCTGAGCCTTTGCTTTTCTGACTTCGTCTTTACAGATTCTGGCTATCTGCTGATATTCTGCCTTAGTTGTGTGTCCCTCTTTCCATTTTTTGTACTTGTCCATTTTGTCTTTCAATTTGTCAAAGAGATCTTTGTGCAGCCATGCCGGTTTCTTCTTGGATTTCTTGTTTTTCTTTCTCATTGATATTGTGCTGGTTTGGACTTTTATAATCATATTTTTCAGAGTTTCCCAAGATTCTTGAGTTGTTTTGGGAAACTCCTGAAAAATATTTACATTTAATGCTTGTTACATATGATTTGTTGAAAAAGAAATTTGGCCTTTTTTCAACTTTATGTGGAAGCTGAAGTTTAGATATAAATACACCTAGGCAGCCCATTTAAGATTACTGAAAAATATTTTGAGCAATGACCAGAACTTGAAAATAAATTGATAATGTACATACATAAGTCCATCTTGAAGTCCCTGAGAAGGATGTTGACTGAAATCAATGGGGTCAGAAAATATCAAGCATACAGAAATAATGCCAGCAATGTTAACATCTCCAAGCTGATGATAGGTGTGATGAATAGGAAGAGGCTCATCAAGATGACATTGAAGGCTACGATGCTTGCACACCACTTGAGGCAATACTGTTAACAGCAACTCGATGATTGCAAACAGCTTCCATAATTGTCCTCTTTCTGTGTGTAAATGACAGCAACAAGATCCTTCTAGGAGATCATACTGGACTAACTTTTTCATCTGTTTTTCAGACAAAAGTAGAAATTGCAGCATAGTGTCAAATCAACTCATAGGGATTTTTGAGCTGTATTTCATGGTGAATATTAACAATATCCTTCAGGGTCAGTTCCTCATTTTTCCATAGTGTCCCATGAGATTTGGAACAGACAAATCGCCTAATTCCATAATGATGGTTAGACAGTCGTCTGTGTAAAGATCATGTGAGGGCCTCTGGAGGGAGGGAGGAATAAGCCAGGAGACAAAGAATGAAAAACAAGATACGAGTATATATAAATATGTAAATGAGTGTAGGCATTTATATACATCAGGGATCCTCAAACTTTTTAAACAGGGGGCCAGTTCACAGGTCCCTCAGAGGGCTGGACTATAGTTTGATTTGACTAATGACCGACTGGGTGGGTGTGGCTAGGTGGTCATGTGACTGGGTGGGTGTGGCCAATTTAGCAGTCCATTTTGTCAATTTAGTAGTCCATTAAACAATACACAGCAGCCCCCTTTTCAAATCTTCTTTTGAAGATTTTTGCCCTAGGTTTTTTTTTTAATTGGGGGGAGAGGTCGGCAATGCCTGGGGAAGGAAAGGCATGCTTTCCACAGGTCTCATGGCTAGATTTAAAGGGCCAGCTAATGTCATTGGTGTGGGGAGATTCATTGGTGAGGTGATAGTGGCTGGATGTGCGATGTTTACTGGAGCAGTAACTGGAGTTGGCAGGTGTGGTGAGTGTTAACGGACAAGTCATGGACAAAGGGCTTGCTATGATAACAGGGGGGCCTAAGTTCATTGGGCTGAAGATGTTATCTGTGCTCAAAACATTGTCTGGGCTTCTCATATTCATTGCAGCAGCCACAATGCAAGGAGCTGATCCTGCAGTACTGCCCCCCCCAAAAAAAAATTGTCAGCCATTGCACCATTTCTCTGGGGAAGCAGCCGCGTCCTGAGCACATCCTTTCAAAGCCAGGGGGACAGTGTATCCCTTCGCAGGTCTTCTGTTTGTTCTGCCCCCCAGGCTGATGCCCCCTGCCTGCCTCACTTGCTTCCAGGACTTGCACCAGGGTGGCCAGACCCATCATGCCAGTGGTGCCAAAGAGGGTGATTTTCTTGAAGGCTGTGGCAGCCAGGCCTCCAGTCACGTGGCTTCCCTTCATGTCATCGCTGTTACCTCCTCGCTGCTCCAGCCCAGGGCCCAAACAAGCCCCTCCGCCTTGGGCTCCACCCGGGCAACTAGACCTTGGCAACTGGACTGTTTCTCTCTGCCCCCTTTTCCTGTTTCGTCTGCTGGATCGACACAGGGAGATGTCAACCCTAGCTTTGCTTTCCATTGCAGCTAGGAATCTCAAATAAGGCCAAGAATGAATGTTTGTGTTGTAGCTGCCCCGGGCTCTAGATCAGCCCCCTGGTTTTAAATCCTCATCTGTCAAGGAGGCTGGCCCTCATTTGCTGCTCATTGAAATGCCTGGTCTCCCAGTGATGGAGGAAGGTCTGGAGCTACAGGCAGCCACATTAAGTGCCTGAAGGACCCCATCCTATTACTGGGAGTCCAGGTGCCTCAGCGATCAATAAGTAAGACCTCGGCTGGGTTTCTTGAGAGATTAGGAGTTCACAGGGTGGTGATCTAGTGTCCAGGCTGGCTACAACACAACATTCATTCTCAGCCTTATTTGAGATTCCAAGCTGCAATGGACAGACCGTTGACCCTGGCTGCTTCTCTCCACTGCAGTGCTTCCTGGACGCAGCTTAGAACTGTGAGCCCGAAGTGGTAGGAGGCAAGGGCTGCCTTGGTGCCACCAGCCTCAGCTCTTATCAGTCCATGCTCAAATCGGTGTTGAGACTAGGGCCCCAGGAGGGTGCGGATGAAGACTGTGAAGACCATGAAGATAAAGTGCCTGATCCAGGCACACACCGCCCCAGCATGCTCTCCGCTGAAGGCTGCCTGCTCATCCACCCGCTGGCTGGACTATCCCAAAAGCGGTGCATCCCCTGGTTGTGGGCTAGATACGGGGCCTGAGGAAGAGGGGAGGGGATGTGGGCAGCAGGCGCCCAGAGGCCCTGCAGAAGCCGAGAGGAAGGCATGAAAGGCAGCTGAGCCTCACCATTTCCACCCCCATGAGACAGCCCTTCAGCCGAGCACAGCAAGTCCAGGGTGGATTTCCCTCCTCCACCATTGACCTTACCTTCTATTGTGTTTCCCCAAAAATAAGACCCGGTCTTATTTATTTATTTTTTTGCCACAAAAAAAAGCACCAGATCTTATTTTTGGGGGGGGTCTTCCACTGACAATTTCCTTAATTGCTAGTGTTAATTTATTCATTTCTGCACATTCTAATATGTTTTTAATCACATTTTCATCTGTAGGGATCTTTTCACTTTTCCATTATTGTGCAAATACAATTCTGGCTGCAGTTAATACATATAGGATCAAATATGTATTCCCCTTATTATAATTGTTGGGTAGAGTACCCAACAAAAATATTTCTGGTTTTAAATCAATATTTTGCTTTATCATTCTTTTCCAACCATGTATGTATTTTTGTCCAATATTTTTTTGCTTTTGGGCATGTCCACCACATATGATAGTATGAACCAGGTATTTGTGGCATTTCCAACATTTGACATATCCTTAAACATCTTTGCCAACCTTGAGGGCAAGAAGTGCCATCTATAAAACATTTTATATAAGTTTTCTTTATATGCAGTTGACATCGTTAATTTGTAATTCCTATCCCATAATTTCTGCCAGTTATCTAACTCTATTGTATATCCAAAGTTTTTTGCCCATACTATCATTGTCTCCTTTACTTGTTCATCTTCCATTTTAATACTTAATAGATAACTATATGTTTTCCTTATTAGTTTTTCATCTGTCCCTGTTAGTATCTGATCTAGTTTTGTTAATTCTTTATAAAAACCATACATTTTAGGATCTTTCTCATATCTAGATTGCACTTGTGGACACCATGCTATATCAATCCCTTGACCATTCCATTCCTGTTTAGTTTTGAGCTCCCCATTTTCATTCAAAATATCTTTGTATCTAGTAATATTTCCCAGATTAATAAAGTTTGGCTGGATCAGTGCCTCCATTGTGGAGAGACAGACTAGTATTTTCAAATAATGTTGTTGTTTGATTTTCTCCCATACTAATAATAATGCATTTCTAATGTAATGTCTTTCAAAATAACCATGTATTTTGTTTTGCCCATACGATAAAAAGGCATGCCAACCCAGTTGAAGATCATGTCCCTCCAAAGTCAATAATCTTTTATGCCTCAAACCAATCCATTCTTTCACCCAAGTAAGTATTGAGGCCTGATAATACAACTTATTGGAGTTGTTTGAAATAAATATAGTAGTCTCGGCAGAATATTCATTTTTATAGTAGCTATTCTTCCTATCAGTGACAGTTGCAGGTTTTTCCACTTCTCCAAGTCTATTTTAATTTGTTGCATCAGTTTATAGTAATTATCTTCTTTAATAGTTACACATCTTGCCATTAACTGAATTCCTAAATATTTTACTTTCTTAACTATCTGAATATCTATTCTCTTCATTAACTCTTTTTTCTGTGTATCTGTAAGGTTTTTGACCAAAATCTTAGTTTTTTCTTTGTTTATTTTCAGTCCTGCAACTTCACCATCTTTTTCTATTTTTTAATTAATTTGGATCCTGTTTCTTGTGGATCTTCCAAAATAAAAACCAAATCATTTGCAAACGCCTGTAGCTTACATTTTTCTTTTTTTATTTCCATACTTTTTATTTCTCTGTCTTGTCTAATATTTCCATTTAACACTTCCAAAGTCAATATAAATAGTAGAGGAGATAGTGGACATCCTTGTCTTGTGCCTTTTTTATATTAAAATTCTTGGTCATATCTCCATTTAAAATCACCTTTGCTGTTTGCTTGTGATATATTGCCTTAATCATATTGATAAATCTCTCCCCAAAATCCATAGTTTTTAATTGTAATAACATAAATTGCCAGTTTACTTTATCAAATGCTTTCTGCATGTCTAGGAAAATCAATGCCATTTGTTTTCCAGGGTGTGCTTTATAATACTCCAGTGTATTTAAGGTCATTTTCATATTATTTTTAATCTATCTCTTAGGCAGAAATCCATTCTGAGCTGAATGTATAAATTCATTCAAACCCCTTTTTAATCTCTCTGCTATTATTGAGGCGTATATTATATAATTCAGCATTCAGTAAGGATATAGAGGTGGAGCTCTTGCCTCACAATCAGGAGGTTGTGAGTTCGATCCTAGGTAGAGGCAGATGTAGGGTCTCCTGCTTCAGCAGGGGGTTGGACTAGATGACCTGCAAGGACCCTTCTAACTCTGTTAATCTGTTAAATCTGCATTAAATCTGAGTCTTCTTTTGGTATAAGAGTAATATATGCTTCCAGGACTTCTGGTTGGTGTCACAGCGGACCAGATGGGGAAATAGCGGGGCTCTTAGGAGCCCTGCGAAAACCGCAACTGCTAAACTGCCGCCGGCAGGTCTGTGGACCTCCCCTGTCCCGTAGGGACAGGGGGAAAGAGAGGGACCCCTCAGACAGCTGAGAGGAATGGGCAGGTTCCTTGGGGCCAGAGGATTGCCCTCTGTGTCGGCGGCAGCTCAGCAGCAGCCATGGCGGCTGCCCCAAAGCTGTGACAGCCAGAAAAAGCAATGTGCAGGAGGAAGAAACAGAGAACAGAGCTAGGTACTCAAATGCTGGGTGAGTGAGATTCAACCCAGGCAGGAGTAGCTTTTAAGTGCAGATTTATAACAAGTGAGCCTTAGCCCCAATTAGCGGCTGTAAACTATCTGGGCAAAAGACTTTCACAAAATAAACAAAAAGAGGAAAATCCAATAGTTAATGGATTATAGTAACTATTGACTGCTTTGGAAGGATTATTTTCTTGGAAAAATAAAAAAAAACTGGCACTTTTTCTTTTCTTTTTTTTTTATTGTAAAAGTTTTACAATTACATTTTCACCCCATTTTCACCCCCCTAACCCACCCCAACCTCCCCAACCCACCCTCCCTAACCCCCCCTAACCCTCCCCTCCCCCCCGGACTTCCATAGAGTATACCCCATCATTGTCCCCTTTATATATAAAAAAAAACCTTGAGCTTTAAACCCCCCCATCCCCCATATCATTTTTCATCTTCACATAGTTCAAATATTTCTATCTTAATGTAATATAATACTATCAATAAAAAGCTATTTGATACTTCCTAGTTTGATATTTGTTCTGCACATAATCTATCCATTTTTTCCATTCACATTCATAAGTCTCTTGTGAGCGGTCTTTTAAATATGCTGAAATCTTCGCCATCTCAGCGAAACCGGCCATCTTCAAAATCCATTCTTGAACGGTAGGCAAAGCTTCATTTTTCCAATATTTACCTATCAACAATCTCGCTGCTGTAATCATATACAAAATCAACTTTGTTTCGTCCACTGTAAAACCCTTAGCTATACCCAATAGAAACAATTGTGGAGAAAATTGAATTTTTTTCTTCAAAACATTCTGCATGACCCACCAAATTTTTATCCAAAAAGCCTTAACTTTCTTACAGGTCCACCAAATATGATAATATGTAGCGTCTGTACAATCACACCTCCAACATTTTGGCTGAACATTAGGGTACATACACGACAGTTTCTTAGGGTCTAGATGCCATCTATAAAACATTTTGTAAAAATTTTCCCTCAAATTCTGCGACTGTGTAAATTTAACATTCTGGACCCAAATTTTTTCCCATGTTTCCAACATCACTGGTTCTTCAAAATTTTGTGCCCACTTAATCATACAGTCTTTAACTAATTCAGTTTCTGAGTCCCTTTCTAGCAAAACATTATAAAGCCTTTTGATATGCATTGGACCTTTCTCTCTTATATGTCTAACCAATTCTTCCTCATGCAACATAATACCAGTTTTTTGGTCCTCTTTCCATCTCAATTGTAATTGATTATATTGTAACCAAGTTAAATTAATCCCTTCGTCCAACAGTGTCTGCAAAGTCTTCAGCTGCCATCTGCCCACATCTGTAAAAAGAACCTCTTTGTATAAAAACCCCCCGAGTGACATTATATTTGTATTCCACAAGGTATGACCAAGATCCAGCCATAGCGGTATTTTATAATCCCATTTGAGTCGGTGCTTCTTCCAAACTCTCATCAAAGAGTCTCTAAGTATATGACTTTTAAATACTTTATCAACTTTGTCATCATAAAATAAGTAAGCGTGCCATCCAAATTCAAGATCAAAACTTTCTGCATTCAATATTCCAGCCTTTTTACTTCCAAACCAATCACTTGTTAAGGTTAAAGCTGCT